GGAATCATAAATAGGACACCAAGGGGACGTCAAACCAACACAAACAGGAAGGCTACAAGTAATCAGCCAACAGTTTTCATTGCTCCAAGACATGTACATATCTCCAAGTCAAAAGAGATGTACAAACAAAATTGAAATATCCCAATCCATAAACATGAAAATTCTTGTCTGCACAATCATAGAAAGATAAACGACTTTCATATCAAAGCGCTTGACTCCAACTATACAAGAACGTTTAAAATTAAAGCTTGGAGTAATAAGGATTTGTCTTCCCTTCAGAAATCCGCCAATTCTCTGTCCAAATACACCAAATAGCCAATAGAACTAGTTTCAACAATTTGAAATTCATTCATCCTTTAAACTCGCCTTTCCAAACTACTTAAATATCTTTGATTAATCTCTCACTCCAAAATCATGGTTCTTTTAATTTTATTGAGAGATAGCTGAACAATGCCATACCATATGCACGTCCCACATTAAGTTCAATTATTAGGAGGAATAAACCATGAGGCAAGGTTGTAATTTCTAATTTGTGTAGAGTTGTCATCAGCCATGTCATAAAAACACTTCACCCATGTAGGAGCTGAATAAAGCTGCTCAGAAACAAAGCCTCAAATAACAATGTAAGTGAGCAGTGAACATACTTGCCTGGTCAGTCATACTCCTTGTGCATTAATTGCAGAGCTAGTGAAAGGAAAAGCACAATCAGTTGTACTCTGCAAATAATTTCCAGGGACAATTGAAAACTTGTCTATTGAAATAAGTCAAGAACTTCTGTTAAATAGGAAGACTGCAGACTTGAAGGTCACAAATCTCATTTTTCCTTTCATTTTTCTCTCCGTCTTCTTTCTCGGAATTCAACATGTAATTGTCTGAATTCAATTATAAGTTTCCAGACTTAAGTATGTTCTGCAGCAATTATCAATCCATGATTCCATGGTAGTTTTCATTATAGCTTAGTAGCTTACCACACATCACTCAAAACACAAGCATTTAGTAAATTTAAAAGCCTTCAACTGCAAAAATTTAAGGCTTGCTAAACAAATCAGGTGCTATCAACTAGCGTTGCATGGGTATATGACTTGATTTAAATCAATTTAATATGGAGTACAGGAGCAGGGATGAAGAGTGCAAACATCTAACAAGTATAGTCATACACACATGTGCGCGCACACATGTACAACACTTTTCAATATTTGCAGTATCGAAATTATAGAGAGAATAAAGAGAATGGTGGAGTTGTATTGTTTTCAAAGGATTAATTAGGAAAAATTGACGGGAACTACCCACCATTTAGTCAACAATTACTCCCTTCAACTTTTTATCAAAAAAAACTACCCCTTTAATTTAAAAAGTTTGAGTGTCACTACCCATTTTGATTTTCCAGCCACAAAATCCGACAAGTGGGCCGAATATTATTTTTTCCCTTCAAAACTTAATCCTAAGACTCATATACAACAACTAACCTCATCCTCTTTATAACTACTCAACCTAAAAATACAAAATTGTTAAAATTTCTCAAATTGAAGAAAGAGATATGTAATGTTTCTAAATTGATGTTCAATTCACTTATTTGGCTTCTTAATTGTGTGATTCCTCATTTTGTGCTCAAGTTTTAGAAGAAAAAGAAAAAGTGAGCTCCAGTCGCCGGATTTTGTTGCTAGACAATCAAAATGGGTAGTGTTGGTCAACCTTTTAAAATTTTGCGGTACCTTTTTTGATAAAAAATTTAAGCGAGTAGTTGTTAACAAAATGACCTATTAGGTGTGTAGTTCCTGACAATTTTTCCGATTAATTATTAACCTTTTCACTACATTTAGGGCATTAGGATATCAAATAGACTTCAAACATGGAAGTAAAAGGGTCGGTCGCTAGCCTCTCCTCCTTTTGTGAGACACTTGCAAAAACAATGGCCAGGTCAGCAAAAATTTAGACTAACCCTGACTACTCTGACCATCCACAAACCAGTGACCCCTAAGCTTTTGCAATTCTAATCTGGCAGCCATTGATGTAGCCTGTAATCCTCACACCAAACGATTTTAAATCTACCTAATCTGAAATCACTTCAATTGCATGAATTGTGGGACAAAATAAGACAATTTCGTGGCGGTTGCAAGCAATCAGAGTTGCATAAGACCCAGCTGCCGATGCATCCAATCTAAATTGCAATTTTGGGGTCCAACCACATTCTGAGAAACAATGTCATCTAGCCCCAAAAAACAAAAGTACCAGTTTAATTCTTTGCCAATAGAACCCTGCCTCTAGGAGGTTCATATCAGAAAAATTGCCTCCAGCCCCTCTAAGGATCAATGAAGTATCACATCTTTAGCATCTTTTAAAATACTACATCCTCCTTAAGATTATCCTCTGTTTCTTACTCCCTGCCAGCACCGTTCAATATTTCCCTCTACAAATATCCATTTCTATGGTTTACAATGAAGACAAGAAGCCTCAACAATATCATCTCCAAAGTATTTTCCTAAACTTTCAACCAAACCTTTTCAATTTAGTGCAAAACCTCATTTATACTAGCTTTATACTAATACTACAGCCAAATTTCATTCCATATTCCAATATTTCCTAGTTGATGATAGATAGTTTACATTGACGATGTCATGCAAATTAGATCTATTTTGTTGCTAATATCTATCTTTTTGGTAATTATTAAATATAATAACTAATTGTTATTCGTCTTATAATTTACTACAAATTTAGTTTAGGGAATACTAAAAAGTACGTTTATTTAATTGAATTGAAAGTATTAGCCGAGAAGGCTAGTTGAATTTTGAAGTTCAACCTAATTAACCGAGCTTTATCCAAGCATCTCAGCTTCTTAAAGTTCAGCTCTCAAACATCCATCTAATTAACAAGCTCAAAGTTCAGTTCTCAAACATCTATCCAACAAACACTTCTGCCTCTCAATTACACAATATTCCATCCAATTAACAATTCAACATAATCTCAACAAAATTAGCTCATCTAATTCTTCCACCACCAATTCTTCCACCAATCAACCAAATCACCATGAATTCGCTTTCATACATCGAACTTCATTTTACTCGCGGCAATTTACGAGCAAAGCACAATCTAATATCCAATTAACACTTCCAATCCTTAATAACCTACCCTAACACTCGAATTTTTACCATAAAATCCACAATTTCTCAACAATTCGAAATGCATGCAATCAACCAACAACAAAACAATCAAATTAACATCAAACTCGTAAAAATTCACAATTTAAAACCACAAAATCATTAAAATTACCTTAGCAAAACCCTCGGCAGTACCAGTTTGAGTACCAAAAAACACCGTAACCTTAGTTTTACCAGCAGCAATCTCAAGCTCATCTTCCTCAGGTTCAACCTTCAATGGTTTAGGAGCAACAAAAGCCGAAGAATCTCTACCTCGATCGTTCGATCTTCGCCATAGAATAACCACCAATCCGATAATCACTGCAATCGAAGTCGTCAAAATGACAATCGCAGAAGAATTTGACGGTGAATCCAATGAAACTCCGAGCATCGATTCGATGGATCGGATCAAATCCGAGCTCGTAGACGCCATTGATGAGAGGTGATTTTCTCTCTCCTCTAAGGGTTTCTCGAAGGTTCAGGAAACCCTAGGGATTGATTTGAGAGGGTTGGTGAAACTCACTGATTCAACACAACCTCTTCTCCCTTTCTTCCTCCTCCTATCACTGAATGGAAATGGGTGGACTTTTTTTTGTTTTTTTTTTTTTGTTTTTATTATTACATTTATTTATTTTTGTTATTATCTTTAATCTTTATTACAGAGAAATTAAAAACTTAAAATAAAAATATAATTAAAAAAAACAAAAGAAAATCATGGATTTTGAGATATTTAGGCAATTCTTATGTTTTGTGAGAGTGTGCAATAAAAGGTGATGGGGGATTTGATCATTTTTATCACTATGATATGAAAAAGGTTGCTTTTCTTCTTGACTTTTCTTGATTTTTGGTAGGTAAGATTTGTATATTCTAGTATCTTATCCAATCCTTTTCTCAAAAAATTCATACTTTACGATAAAAATATATGTACTCTTCCTCATTTCAAAATATGTTTATTAATTTCACTTTTATATTTGTCAATGGTTAACTTTGATAATTAACAATTTTAATTTTACGTTTATAAAGATAGTTAAACCCAAAAAAAAAAGTAAATATTTTGAGGATATATAGGATATATGAAGTATTAAGAGATTGAAATTAATTTAACAATATTTAACATATTTTTATATACTAGTAAAATAATTGAAGTCAAACTTAATTATATGCTCTTCATGTGACATACTTGACAATATTACTATAGATGTTAGCTATCAAGTAGTAAATGAAAGATGTTCAACACAAACTAGTAACTTACAATTTTAAGAGTGATGATATAATGTCATATTGATATTATATTGGTTCTTAACAAATTAAACACAACTTAAAAACTAGTTTTGTTAGTTTTGGTACAAAATTAATTTAAAAGTTAAAAGCTATCATTCATCGCATGCTAAAATTGTAGTCGTATGGAGTATTTTGGCTTAGTTATTCTGGAAGTTATTATTGATAGGGTATGGTCGTGCAAGTAACCGAATAACTTGAGCCAAATCCAAAGCCAAGAAATTTCGACCTACATATGTGGGTAACCAAACCAAATATCACTTGTACTACATGGTTAAGTTTATAGGAAACTCAAGAAAATTAATTAAAAATACCAGAAATGTTTATTGAACTATTTGTTTAACTATCTTACATTACTATAATTAAAATAATAAGTGATTTATTCTAACACTCTTAGCTTGAAAAATAATTAGGACGTTATTGAGATTGTGTAGGTAAGTAGAGTTTATGTACAAAGTACATACACAACAACAATAATAAAAACAGCAACAAACCCATAGTCATCTTCTCATCTATTGAAAAAATTTAAAAATAGAGTTAAAGTACGTGTAACAATACTAATAAACAATCAAGGAAGAATATATGAAATTGAAAAATGCAATTGTATATATAAATTGTGGTAATACATTTCCAAAGCTTGAAATATGAAGTTTGCAAAGCTCTTCATTTTCTCATTAATAAATTTATTTTATCATAACACTAATAAATTTATTTCATCATAACACTAATATATAATACATACAACAATATTACAAATAAATAAATAGAAGGAAAAAAAAACTTTAAATTATAATTATAATTATGCAATGCACCATTCTTTATTTAACTCATGTTTGAAGGATTCAATTTCATTTTCATCTAGATGTAGCACAACAAGTTTGCCATCTTTTGTGCCCGGAAGTACCAAAATTGATCCTTTATCCCCAACTCCATCAATAGTGTAACAAGCAAATGTTGGACGCTTTCCTTTTATTTCAAAACCATAAATATCAACTTGTTCCATGTCAACAAATGTTAGGTTTGTCCCATAAACAATGTAGTCAAATTTACTCACATCATGGTTCACCAATTCTTCAACCATGTTGCCCTCATCAACATAATTTTCAGCAATCAAATGTACTAGTGTCAAAGGATCAGCACTCGACACTGAAAATTTCGCCTCGACTGTGCCTAATACTTGTCCATTATAGGGCATCCCATGTTCCTTCTTGATTGTTTTTGGTCTACAAATAGTCACATTTTTGGTCTCCAAATCATTCCTAATTTTTGCTATGGACTTCCATATAATTGCTGTAATTACCTCAAAACATTGGCTTGAATCTTTATCATTCATTTTGGAACCATGCACCTTCAAATGCAATTGATCAAGTTGTTGTGGAGTAAGATGAAAAGTATGGGTACCTATCTTACAATTGGTTGGGTTAACCCAATGATCACCCACCGGGTTGACCCGTTTCACTGAAGTGGGCTCTTGAGTTGGGCTCAAAGGCTTGTATTTGGGCTGTGAAGGATGTTGAATGGCAAGAGTTTTGGGGTTTTGATGGTGACCTTGCATATATTGGGTCCACATGTTCATAAATTCTGTAGCTGAGAATGCATCACCAAGAATGTGAGCCCAACTTAGGCCCATTGAAATTCCTCCACACTTGAACCATGTCACCTACAATCAACTTGAGTTAGTATTAAGAGAACCTTGAAGTGTATTTAGGTAAATTGTAAATAATTTTAAAAAATTGGAGGTAATGCAAAGTAAAGGTAACAAGAAAGCATTTTTTATTTATTCGAAGCCCTATCTATTAACAATTTTAATTATATAGTCATATTCTCTTCACCTAATTTATACCAATAAGAAAGCAACGAACTTTATTGATTTAACCCCATTTTTACTCATAAAAACACTATACAAGGGAGTAAGGAAGAGATCTGCAGGCAGAAATCAATCTCGATCAAATCTAGAATATCATTCCTAAAGTCCTAAAGACATAATCAGGCATGTTACAGAGTAATTATATGCAATGAGGGACCTTCCACCGAGGCGAGTCAGGGGCACGCGCCTAACCCCTGTTAGATTATTTTAGTTAGTTGTTAAGGTTACAATACCCCATTCTACTTATAATAATTTGCGTATAGTGATTAATATTGAGTTAGGGATTCAAAAATGTTGGTTCCTCAAATATTTAAGGTCAATATTCGCCACAGATTATATGTGATAGTACGTATAACTACCCATGTCTGTGGACTGTACGTGGTACGTAGATTGGTAACAATATATGGAGTACTTAAATAATGATTAGAGCAAGTTGGCAAGTAGGGTAGTAATGAAAGTGTGTAGCTGTAATGCCTGTAAGTTAGATACAGAGTAATGGATGAACTAAGGAGTTACAATACGTATACATTGGACTATTGGAGTAGTTGGCCGTTGGAATTTAATCGTCACATGAACTGTTGTGTTTATGCAGTTACAAAACAGATACGATGTTCGTACGAAATTTGTTGCACTAAAACAATTCAACTAACTTTAGCTGTCAAAAATAGTAAATTAAAAACCAATCAACTAACCTCAACATCCCTATTTATAATTATTTGATGGAATGAAAGTGATACACTCATTCTTTCCTTTGCATGATTTACTTTTACGTTTTAAAATTTATACTCTCAAGCATATCTTTAATTAATTTTATAGATGTAAGTAAAAATTACATTAACTTGATGTTTTAAAAGTAGATATTGAAATAATTGTTAGGAAATTTTGACAATTACCGTCCATTTTAGCAATTACCACCTTGTATTTTTTTTTTTTTGAAAATTACCACCTTCTACTTTCAAAAACATCAAAAGTTACCATCTTCATTCTTGGCTTTTTGCCCTCCAACTACCACATGATGTCATTTTGGGTCCATTCTTTCCCTTCCCTCCCTATTTCCCTCACATTTCTCATTCTTATTTGGATTCTCATATCCCCTTTCACTTTTTTCCCCCCAAACCACCAATAATTGTTCGTCAATTTTGATTTGGAGGAGTGAATTGAAGTGTTTTTGATTGTTTGGGGGAAAAAAAGTGAAAGGGAGGGATGAGAATCGAGTTAGGAATGAGAAATGTGAGGGAAATAGGGAGGAAAGGGAAAGAATGAGCCCAAAATGATGTCATGTGGTAGTTGAGAGGCAAGAAGGTGGTAACTTTTGATGTTTTTGAAAATAGAAGGTGGTAATTTTCAAAAAAAAATATAAGGTGGTAATTGCTAAAAGGACTAAACAGAAGGTGGTAATTGTCAAAATTTCCTAATTGTTATAAGATTTCAAAATTTTGACTCAAAACAGGAGGCCGAGATTAGGGTAATACTCATATTTAGCTCTAAAGCTAGTTTGTATGAATTTAATTGAAAATTGAAGTATGCTTTAGTTGGAAATTGGTAGTTAATCGAAGGGCTACGTGTAAGAATTAAGTAAAGGATTAAGAATGTAACCATCAATTATACCGATTGAAGCACATTATTGGGATAAATTTTTTAGGAGAAAATAGGTTATGATAGGTGTAAAATAAGTTCAATTTTTTAGTAAAATAAGTTAAGTGAAAATGAATATGCACCCTAACTTTGGATAATTAATGTGCTTCTAATTCCATTTGCATTAATTTTAAAAAATCTCACTCAATTCATGAATATTTAGTCCATTTTAATGGCGTCAAATTATACAAATCATATCAATACTATGGTGTGTTCAATTGTGTTCTTCAACTATTCAAACCTAACGGATAAGATTAATTGAATTATTTAGAACTTATCAAAACTTAATTTAGTTTTTGAATTACTTGAGTGAACTTTTATATATATATATATATATATATATATATATATATATATATATATATATATATATATATATATATATATATATATATATATATTTAATACTTACGTTAATGTACTTAATTATACAAAGACGTCTTTTATACGAAACTATCAATTATGTGGGAAAATAAAATGAGCATAATAGGGCCTAAATTTCATGATTTAAATGATTGTTATTGATTCTGAACTTTCCAAAAGTGGCCAATTAGTTTTGCACATCAATGTAGTAAAGAAATTGACCTAGTATCCTAATTTACTCCTTGCTCAAAATATACTAATTAGAGTTTTAGAGTAATTAGTTAATTACATATCCATTAACATGTTATGTGGTCTCCATTACACATCTTATATCGTTAATGTCTAAAATTCTTTTTGTTATACTGGTATATAATTTTAAATAAAATACAAGTATGAGAATTCACTTTAAAATGAATCAATTCAAACAAGATTTCTCCTTGTACTCTGTATATAATTAAAGTAACAAAACGGTCAAAGATTTATAATTTCGATCTGAATAGTAATGGGTTGAACACTTGAACTACACAGAGCTGAGATTGCACCACCACTACTACTGCTACAAAAAAGAAATAACTACCTACAAATCTACAATATAATCATTGCCTCATTGGAAATTTGGTATTGCTATTTTGGTCAAGTGCACATTAATATAAATATAAATAAACCAAAAGAAGCTAATTTTGTATGTGTGGGTTAGATTAAAGATAAATCAAGAGAATACTTATATATGCATATACATATTTTGGTAAGGAGAAGGATCCAACTGGCAGGAACTTCTCGCAGGTTCTCCCTATTCGGATTAGCGGGTTAGACACTTTCAAAGTGGACGGGAAGGGTAAGGGTAAGGGTAAGGGTAAGGGTAAGGGTAAGAGATCAGAGTACTTATATGGGTAAATTCTCTTTAAAGTGAGGCAGGGCAATTAATGCATGATTACTGTAGTTAAGACACACTGCATATGCTAAGGTAGGTAGATTTAATTTATGGTAAAAAAAAATAAAATAAAAAAAAAAAAACTGAAAGTATTAGGCTATGATCCTATGGAAGCCAGTGAATGAGACATCTAAAACGTAATCAAGCATCGTTTTAGCTAGCTCTTTGCTAGAGGTTGTATCGATAGTAATTATTAAGGATAATGATGTACACGACATGACCCAATAGTCAATTCGAAATCACATCACTACTCGTTAATTGGACACTAAATCATGATCCAATCAAGATTAGACAAGCATATTAATTAAACAAGCAAGCAAGGAAGCTTAATCATACATAAAAATTACGTACCTGTAGACAAACAAGAGGAGAAAAGGGCAAGTCAGGACCAAGAGAATGGTTATAGATAAGTTGATCTTGCATCGACAAGAAATCCTCCATAGCAAGCAACTCGTCGACAGTCTTGTTCGACTGAGCCTCGACAACCCTTATACCGGCATCATTGAGCTTAATCGAGGGCCGGTCACCGGTCTCATCAGAAGAGGCCCGGATCCTCCCACAAGCCACAAAGTAAGAGATAAGCCAATCATACATATGCACACTCTTCATTTCTTTAACACTCCAAAAGTTACTAGTACCATTGTTATTATTAGTACTATTAGTAGTAGTAGTTGTTATGTTGGTGTTATTGAAGAAATAAAGGCCTTTAAGATAATGCAATTTCATGGCCAAATCTATGCCTTTTAACTCATATGTTTTGTTTTCACCAGTAATTTTTCCAGGCACTACTGTTGCTACTCTTATGTCAAAGACTAAATTTTTCTTGGATTCTTCCTTTGGAATTGGCATTTTTTTTTCTTTGTTTTTTTCGAATTTGGTGTTTATTAGTTTGGTGGGAGAAAGAGGAAGGTTTAGTTTAGTTTATGGGCATTCATATAACATGAGTTTATATAGCTGCTACTCATGCCTTTTTAATAGCTTGTTAGGAATGATTGCTGGAACAAGTTGAGTCTATTTACAGTAATTTTGAACAATTTTACACTATCGCAATTATTCTCTTCATCGTGGAATTTTGTTAGATTTGTCTTGATATATTGTCAATATATTTACTTTCGTTTTTTAGTTGACACGTTTTGACTTTGTGCACTATTCACATAATGTACTTTTGACTTTGTTTTATGATTTAGTGTTGAATAAAAACATAGTTATGTGGGATTTTGTTAGATTCATTTCAATGTCTATTTTCTAAATATCAAAATTTCATAATTTTTTCTAATACGTAACTAAAGATATTTATATTTAAATGTATGAGTTGACAAACGTGCCTAAATGTAATGCGTCAACTAATAACTAATAAAAAACCGAGGAAGTAATTTTTACTTTAAGATAAGTAGAATATTGATTTATTATAATGTATGTATATATGTATATCGACAAATGTGATACTTCAAATGTTGAACTATAAATGAATTTAACAAAGTATAATATTGTACATTATAATTTTCCCGACTAATTGGTGGTCCCTATAGACGCCTGTACGGTGCAACGTACAGTTTTTGTAAAAAAAAAAAGCGAAAAAAATTATACAATATAGTCGTGAACATATAGCTATAGTGAAATAACATACTATTAAAATTTAATAAACATATATTTAGAGTGAAAACAACATACTGCTAAAATGTACTTCGTAATAAGCATATACCTAGAGTGAAATCAACATAATTGCACCAAAAAAAGAGTATAAAAAAGTAAGAACATATGTCCATGTTCTTTTATTGTCAATTTAAGGTAATTTTATTTGTGACCTAATGTTCATTGCTTAATTATAAAAAAAAAAAAATTAAAAAAAAAAAAACTTAATGTTCATTACAAAACAATCATATGTTATTAACAAAACAACTATATGTTATTTACGAAATAACTACATGTTTTTTCCACGTTTTTTGTTTGCATGGTACAGATGCATGTATCTTAAAATTTTCATTCCCGGACAACATTAATAAAAGTTCTTTTAACTTTTTTTTATATGTCCCATAATTAAAGTCTTACATCAAATCAAATTTTTTAATAAAAATAATAATTTTGTAGTCAAATAAACAAAATCTAATCTTGACCTCCTTAAACTAAATGTCATCATGATAGTATTAAAAGTTAGAGATGAAGGGATTGATCGGTATATTAGAATAATAATGAATATATGATGGGATTGATTACTATAATATTCGGGTATACTAGAGTGTATCCGTGCTAACGCACGGTATATACGTAACATGTGTATTTAGAAAGAAAAACAATAGGAGATGGAAATTATTAGAAAAAATGAAGAAGTGGATGTTATTATTTTTAAAAAAATGGAGAAGTAAAAGTTATTATATTGGAGGTTATAGCAAATAAAAAAAAAAAAAAAATTGCATGAGATTAGAGAATTTGGCTTTTGGGGGATTGTAGTTAAATGACTCTGCAATTATATAAAAGATTATTATTTTCTAGTGTACCAACTTATTTACAAGAAACTTGTTGCTATAAACGAGTATTTTTCAGCCTCTAATAATTTAGGTAACTAGGTGTAAGCCCGTGCGATGCACGATTCTAGTAAATCATTCTATTTAATTTAAAACTTTGTATATTTATGAAGATCATTCATTAGATATATGGATAAATTTTTTTAATATCATAAGATAATTTTTTAATCTAACACTAAAGTTATCTTTTGTTGTTTTATTTATTTTACGTGATGCTTGAATTTAAAATTCCAAACCTTATTCACTAATTTTGCTTATGTGACAATTTAAATTTTTAATTCAAAAAAGAAATGAAAAATGTCGTTTTTTTAATCAAAATGAGTCTTTTGCCTATGCGTTTATTTAATATACTTGTTTTATTTAAAATATTAGTCTCATTTATAATCGTTTAACTATTAAAAATTATGGGAAATCAGTTATATGAGATTTACTTTTATTCGTCTTGAGTACATTATTAAAATTGAACTTTTATAATATTTGTTAGGGAGAGATTAAAGATACGTAGTATTTTCCATTGCATAAAAAATTTGCATCCATATATGTAAAAAAGACATTACTTAGTTTTTTTTTATTTAAATTTTAATTTTTCTCTATTCGTAAAATCAAACTTTTACAATATTTTTTAGGGAGAGATTAAAGATATTTGTGATTTTTTTTTGAAGGGGGGAGATTAAAATTCATTAATAATAAGCCATACGACACTTACATAAGAAATCGTAATCGAACAATACAAAGACAAAAGAACCAATTACAAATTCGAAATAAAATAAACTACAATTGCACGCGCAAAATGACTTTCTAAAATACCCTTGACTCATATAACGTTGTCCTATGCAGCCTCTTGCAAGGGGGTCTGACAATATGTTGTAGTTTTTGACGTGAACCTTCATTGGCTCAGAATCCTGTACTCCTCGACCTGAAATCAAAATTGGTGTCGTACACTTCACCATTGACAAGACAATCTCCGATTCAAACACGGATATCGGCATGGAAGCATAACCCTTTAGCCCAAACCAACAGAAGATCAAACCAAAGCCCCATAGCCAAAAAATCCGGCTCAAATCCTGCACCAGAAGATCGGCACACCGATCTGCACACCCCATAGCACACCAACACACCACACAAAAAGAAAAAATAACAAACCCAAATAAACCACACACACAAAGACGGAAAAAAGAGACCCAAACACCACACACACCACTAAAAGAAAAAACAGAAGGAAAACTAAAAACAAGAACTACGATCGTAACCCTAACAACCCACCCCGCAGCCAATCTGAGCACCACCACCAAAGCTCCGAGGTTCACCAACCCAACCCACATACCGCCGGACAGTAAATCCCGAACCGCCGAGACCCGCCCGAGAAGCCCAAACCCCACACACCCCTGAACCGCGGCAACGACGGCTGGAAACACCAGACTGAGAACGGCCCTACGCGAGGGACTCAGAGGGAGATAACTCTCCCTCCCCATTCTCCTACAAAACGTCGCGACGACGGGCAAAGCGATGGAGCAGAGGCACGACGGGGAAGCGGAGAAGAAAGACGGCGGCAAGTCGGCAGCAAGGCCGGTGAGGAAAAGAGGCGGCCAAAAAGGGGGAGCGGCGCACGTTGCAAGGTTGACCAGACAAAAAACCAAAACAAGAAAGGAAAAAAATAACCTAAGGAAGTAGATCGGAGGCTCGCCAAAGTTGTGGCATGGGCGGTGAGCCGTACGCCCGCCGGCGAGCCTCATGGCCGGAGCAAATTTTGAGAAAAACGGTAGGGTTTTGGGAGAGGAAGAGAGCGCTAGAGAGAGAAAGGAGAAGGGTACTGAGTTTTGTTTGTCTATTGTTTTCTCTTATTTAGATATTTGTGATTAAAAATTTGCAACCATATGTAAAAAAGATACGGAGTAATTATTACTTAGTTATTTTTTTTTGTTTTTTAGAATAGATAATTATTATTGGTTTTTAAAAGTGAATTAAATTTTAATTATTCTCTACCTATGTGTCAAAATTCTTAAATCCTATTCGTCACTTTTTCTTAGGTGGCGAGTAAAATTTTTAATTCTAAAATAAATTATTAATCTAATTTTCATTGGTCCAAATAATACCTTTTCTTATGTGGCGCGCCAAATGCTCCCGAAAAAGGCCTACTTTATTTATATATATTAGATTTTTTACTGTATTGCTCATTGAAATTAAGATATGTATTGGTGAATTGATATCCATCTTATTGTCGAAATACTTCTTCGATCAATATTAACAACAATCGCAAAATTTAGAATGTAACCCTTGGTATCAATAGACCTATTTGTTAAACCTAAGATAATATCATCGAAACATAGCTTAATAACAATAATCATCATTAGTCACTTATGTCCTATCAATATTAGAGCAACTCCAATGGTTGTAGCTAGAGATTTTCTTGCAATTTCAATTATTCCCTATCTATTAGCTTGGCTATTGGAGCTAGAAAACTCAATTAGCTTGGTTAAGCAAATTAGCTTTGCTGGGAATTAAACTTGCCAAAATAAATGTTCGTTGAACCAATACTGCTACTACTACTACTGCTGCTGCTGCTACTACTAATAATAATAATTTCTAGGTTTGGCAATTGGCAGTGGCGGCTTGCCACCTTACCATTTACGTTTGGCGGATTTGGTGTTTATTTCGCAAGTGATGTTCGTCAAAACCTTCTTTTTTATTAATAAAACAATCATATTGTTTCTAATGTTGGTGATCCACAATAAATTAGTGTGAACCAGGTCAATTTAAGAATTTGTATGGGTCGTGAAGCGAGTATTGATTGGCATTTATAGTTGCATAACTTGCATTTTATCATTTCATCGATTTCAATTATCATCCATTAGTTTTCCCTCAATCTCATAGTATAATGCCTTCTTTCTTTTTTAGATAAATATTAAAATACAATGCCTTTTTCTATTAAAAGGTTGCTGGTACTTTTGACATTATTATTAGTTTATTACCCTTCTTTTGATGGGTTGTCCTTTTATTATTATTATTATTATTATTATTATTATTATTATTATAGTTTTAACATTAATTTTCAACACTTTCTCACTCTATCTCATCAATTGTTCCAAATACTTCTTCTTTCTCTCTACCTCTCTCTAACCCCACCCACATGCACATATATACATCTAATCATTAGTTTTAAAAAATTACAACTTTTTTAAATCTCGGCTTACTGCGTAAAAACCCAAAGAGGCATTGTATTATGAAATGGAGGGAGTACTTTACTTTTATCTTTTATTGGTTTTGGAAACAATCTCAAAACTCTAAGTTAAAATTTATTTTCTCAAAAATTTAATCATTTGGTACTACTCATATGAACTATGAAGAGAATAAAGCTTACTAGTATATGAATCACACATGATAGCTAGAGCCATAAGTTAATATAAAATGTATTTCAAATAAAGAGCTAAGTACTTTATTTTTCAATATGAAAAAAGACTCTTAAGCAACCACACTTTCAACGTGAGATGTTGATTAAGAATACTTAAAATATACTATAAGAAGAGTGGACGCGCGCCGAGAAGTTAGTTAATGCCGGACTTCTCCTAACCACCTTTACAGGCCCATGTTTAATTAACAACATTCACATGTTTAATGGCATATTCTTTCTCTTCCGCCACCTTTTTTCTTTTTCTTGATCCGTTTCTTGTTTTTTGAGACTTAAGGTGTTGCCACAAGTTCGCATACATATTTGATAGCCGTTTTCCTTAAAAAAAAATAAAAAAAAAGATTTACTTATATATAACATATTTCCTCCATTTTATATTAATCGTCAGCCAAGTTGATTTTCGCATATGTTTGATCATCTATAACAATTTAATTGAAAAGTAGATTAATGAGAGCTTAGAAAGTACATGAGTTTTTTGAATGCATGAATGAATGAAATTAAAGAGGCCGGGTGCAGTGCAAGGAGAGAGTTGATTTATTAGTGAAACCATGAATAAAATTTTTGAATGAATAATAAGCTAAGTTAGGATGAGCGTAAATGAAAAGTGTAATATAAAAATTGGGAATTTGGGACACTGGAAAATTAAAATTCGCATACGTATCAACTAAAAAAACCCGAGAAATATATGAGATTTCATCTAAATAAATGTACCAAAAGAAAATCATGGGTTATTCCATTATTTTTTAAGCATCTCATTCATGCATAATAATTGTTTAGATAATTTTCAAAGCAAATGAATATATATCCTAGTTTCACTTACATTAAAAAAAAAAAAAAAAAAGATACATGAAAATCGGGTGAATAGAAAACATACCTTACATCATTTTGATCCAAAAATTGGCAGAATAAATACATTAGAGGTGTTAAAAAAAGTCGAGCTTACGTATAAAATCCCGTGCCTAAATCCGCAAAAGAAAGTTAGGCTTTTGGGTTTTTTGGGCTGAGATCAAGTTTTGATTGATGTAAAGATCGATACATTTTTAGGGTTGGATTGGACCAACATATAGGGCATTGTTGACCACCTCTAAAATATTGATTTTTTTTTTGTTTACACTCGAGTTCAAGGTGCACACCCAACAATATTTTTTTAAACTATTTGTTGCTTTTAAATCTCACATAGAAATAATAAGAAAATATTTCTTTATAAGTAAGAGCACATTTCTTTAGTATCACTTTTTTAGGTGACCAAAAAACAAATTCTTGTGAGCTAGTCCCAAAGTGAACATATCATATTAATGTGTAGTGGAAGTGTGGTTGCTGCAATCAGATTAATATATAAGACAATGAATCGGCGATCATATTCATGACTACACTAAATCGATATAGCCCAATGACAAAGGTAATGATTTTCAAGTAGACTATATCTCAATAGATTTGCCAATCCAAGATGACAAGAGAAAAAACTAATGAAGATTTTATTTTATTTTATTTATTTATTTTTTTTTCAATTTTTTTGTGTGTGTGTTTTGTGTGTGAATAGAATTAATGAAGATTGAAGTAAGGTCAAATACAACAAATTGACAACCGATTAACACATCCACCAATCAACTAATATATCCAAGAATTAATCGCTTGATACACAAAATAAGACAAGTGGCAATCATCTATAATGAAATCGAACCCAATAGAATTAAGATTTCAGCAAGAATTTAGCTGGCTAAAACTTGGAGGAAGTAATGAATTGAAGCAATAAACGTGCTCTAGTTATCATCAGGAAACAACGACCCCAAAAGGTAAGGCTAACCGTTTAACAACGACTCTAGGACATGTTTGTAGCCTGGTGGCCTGGTGGTTGATCAGCATAAAGTTAACTATTTAAGGAAGGTTGCCTATAACATAGGACAATCGTGCATAACTGCATATAAGAGTATTTTCAATGGTAAGTTGCAATACCTTGTAGCTTGTAACCACATCAATTTTTTTAAATACAACACTTTATTTTTTAAAGTATTTCAATGATGAATTTTAACATTTGCTAGGTAATAAAATCCGACCAGTATCCTACTATACAATCCAGATGCACCGTGCACCGTTTGGAATATGAGGTAAGGGAATTCGAACCCCAAAGTGCCCTCTATCCAGCCTTAAGCCCTTTAACTACTTGACGGCCTGAGCTTGGATTTTTGGGTCATATGTGATCAAATGATTATTGATAACTAATTTATCCTCCTCATTTTTTTTTATAATTAATTTAGCCTTAAGCCCGTAGACTTGAAGTATTATTTTGTATTTATGATTTCAATAAAGTTTACATTATTAAATACTTCATATAATATTGAAGGTATCATATCAAATAGAGTACTAGTTGATGACTAAAAAACAGAAAGAAGTATATTTCAATCCTATTAATTTTTTAGTCCATTTATAATAAATTTGCATGGTCCTATTATATTTAAATCGAAATTATATTGTTGACTGCATAAATATTAGATTATACATCACAATCTTATTAATATTTTAAAATGACATGTAACCGGACATTGATGATTTAATATTGAGAAGTGACATTTTTCTTCCTCTTATATTTCATCAATATATAGCAAAGTGACATTATTATGAATAACTACTCTTTTTTTTTTTGTTTTTTTATATATATTGTTATAATTCTTTTAAATATATACTCCCTCCGCCCCTTAATTATGTGTCTATTTCTTTCCTTTATTACTCACATAATAATAGACATATAATTAAAGGACAGAGGGAGTAGCAAAGTGACATTATTATGATTTTTATATATATATATATATGGATCTTACTAACATTAATCACGCGTTATTCGGTGTAATTAATGTTAGTTTTACTCTACTCCCTTCGTCCCTAAATTAAATTCCTATTTCTAGCATTTATTTCTCACATAATAGAGGAAAATAGTAATGTAGTTTAGGGATGGAGGGAGTAATATTTTCACTTTTAATTCTCTTATCTAACGCCCTGGGGGCACTCATTAGCTTTTGCCTTTATATATTGTTATAAATTATGAATAACTGTAAACGGTTTATAAGAGTGACATTATTATAAATTGTTACTAATTTATTATGATGATGACCTATAAGGCTATAATCATTTATTCTGAACGCATAATTTTGTACTTGGATTGAGAATTTAAGAGATAGAACTATATAGTAAAAATAATTCATCCGAGAAAAAAAAAAACACGAAAATCAATTATGGAGTATATAGCCTCAGTGTTTCGCTGATCATAGTGTTGTAGAAATTTTGGTTTGGTCTATTAAATTAGACTAGATTGGATTGGATTGAAATAAATCAATTCGATTTTCGAGTTGATTTTATTTTAATTAAACAATACTTGGAGTGTATAGAGATTAGTCGATCAGAGACACATAATGAACGGAAAGACTTGTGTGGACCTGGTCCACAATAATATTATTATGGACTCGAGATTTATACACATGTAACTAACATTATATTGCACATAGTGACCCTTATTTTTAACCTTTATTAATACTTGTATAACGTTTTAACATTATTGTGAATTTGAATACATGTTATGACCCTAATTTGAACATAGTGACCTTTATGATTCATATTAACCAGTATATAAAATATTTCATTAAAAAAATTAACCTCTTATAACCTATATATTACCAAAATGACTTTTATTTCAACATAGTGACCTTGTTTTTATTATAGTGCGTGACCTTTTTTTTTTTTTTTTTTATTTATTAATAAAACAATCATATTTTCTTTAATACTAGTGGTCCACAATAAATTAGTGTGAACCAGGTTTATTTAAGAATTTGTGTCCCCGTTAGGCCCTATTTGACAAAGGTAGCGGTAGCGAGTAGCTTTTAACGGTCGAGTAGAGAGTAGTTGTTAAGGTTGCGACTAACCGTCAATTAATAGTGGATAGAATTGAAGTTAGCTATCAAAGTATTGGTTAATAATATGAGTATTTGGCAAAGTAGCGGTTGCATTACTAAAACATATTAATAATAATATAAATTGTTACGGAGTAATAAAAAGTAACCAAAAATTAATAAACGTTACTATTTTTAACGTTTGAGAAAAGTAACCTAAACGCTACCGCTAATCACTATTCGCATCCCTACATTGCCAAACACTCTTAATTTTTATTTTATTTTTCTAGTAGTGTGTTTTGACTGGTCAAAACACTAACCACTACCTCAAACGTTACCATTAAACATGGACTTAGATTATAAACCGAATGGTACGGTATTGCTTTATTTTTAATGTTAGACAAACAATATTCAAACTTGCACTAACACATGAGAATATTATACTCCAGCCCGTCTTGTGTGTGGTTGACCAAGTAACCCCATAACATTGAACGAGTAACTCTTATAATACTGACGAATGTAACCCTTTAACACAATAACACTAACCAAGTAACCCCTATTACACTAACGAAATAATCCAAATATTAGATGGCCACATATAAGAATTTGTGAAAAACAAAAAAGCAACCATAACTTTTGTGTTGTGTCTCAGTCCACATAGTATTATTAGTTGCATTGCATACACCCAATGCTACGCAGACACATAGTATGACAAGTATATATATACGAGTATAACTAACTGTATAAGTAAAGCACTAGAACTAAATTATTGTTACGTAGTAGTACGAAGTACATGAGTACTGCGTCCACTGTGTCTCCGTTTATATATTGAGTTAATATTATTTTTCGTTTTGAAAGTTGATTTCCATTTTGATTATGTGCACTGTGTTTGTGTTGGGAGCCTTTGCTCATCAACAATTTTCAGGTACATAGAGGGGAATTACACTGGGCGAAACACTACAACTACGAGCAGTCGAGGTATGTTAACTGATATTGTATATGTATCAGCTATTAAGTGAGGGTCATGCCGAAGGCCAAGGCAGGCCAGAGTGTTGTCCAAGATGTATCTAATGTGGTGGCCGGTGGGGATAAATGGAATGTAAGGGGATGGGAATGGATCGAAAATGGTCCGAGAGGGCGGATTATATTCGATTTTTCGATTCCATGGTGGCTAAGAGTGAAGGCGTTACAGACTTACCAACCTTGCCATGCGTGAAATTATATACACCTTTGCTTACCAAAAAAAAAATGTACATATGCTAATGAAATTGATTTTCTCCTTGCAAAAATTAAAATATTGTAGACTATTGCAATTGTTTTAACTTGAACAAATTAAACCAAATATAGTTTATTTCGTCGTCTCACTGGTACATAACATATGATATAAATCATATAATATAACAATAAGTCAATAATACAAGAAAGATCAAGTCACATCCCCTTAATTGCTATTGTGAAGCCAGCAAGCAATAAGATAAGGGTATTATTCAGTGGCTTGGTGCACCACTTTTTTTACAACCACATTTCAATTCTAGCTTAGGCATAATCCGTGAATAATAACTTTACATTCTACTTCACGCTTATATATTAAGACAACATACATAAATTATTTTGAAATTAAATGATGAAACAATTATTAAATGCACCATTCTTCCTTCAACTCACTTTTTAAAGGTTCAATTTCATCTTCCGGAAGTTGTACCACAATAAGTTTGCCATCTTTAGGTCCTGGAAGTACCAAAACGACTCCTTTATCCCCTATTTCACCAATACTATAGCTAGCAAACCTTGGATTATTTCCTTTCATTTCAAAACCATAAACATCAGCTTTTTCTACGTCAACAAATGTTAGGTTTGCCCCGTAAACAAAAAAATCAGACTCACCCGTCTCTTTGTTCACTAATTCTTCAACCACGTCACTCTCATCAATCACACCTTCAATTATCGAATGTACCAATTTTAACGGAGCAACATTTGATACTACAAAATTCGCCTCAACAACACCTAATACTTGCCCGTTATGAGGTACTATTCCTTGTCTTTTGAATGATTTTGGCCTACAAATAGTCACAACATTTGTCTCCAAATCCTTCCTAATCTTTGCAATGGATTTCCACATAATTGATGTAATAACCTCAAAAAATTGGCTAGTACAATTGTCATTCATTTTGGTACCATGTACCATTGAATGCAATTGACCAAGTTGGTTTAAATTTAGATGAATAGTGTGGACACCTATTTTACTATGGTAAGGAAGGACCCAATGGCTACCAACCGGGTCAACCCGTTTCACGGAAACAGGCTCTCGGGTGGATTTCGAAAGCGGGTATTCGGATTGTGGAGGATCTTGAAGGGAAATTAAATTTGGTTTTTGTTTGTTACTATCTTGAATTTGAATATAATGGCCCAATGTGTTCATGAATTCTACAGCTGAGAATGCATCACCAAGTACGTGAGCCCAACTTAGACCGACTGAAATTCCTCCACATTTGAACCAAGTTACCTGCACAGTATTTATGTATAAGTTACTTTGACTTCATTTTGTTATTCATACTTACCGGAAAAAAAGTCTGGTCTTGTTAAATTTGCATTAGTGTATATTTTCGTATATGTATAGATCTAATTCAATTTATCTCAGTTTACAACATTAACTTTTAATAATCTTATGTAACACGGATATATTACTCTGAAGGTTCAATGGGCACTCAAGAGGGGGGGGGGTGAATTGAGTGTTAAGTAATCGTTGGCTAATTTTGCTTCTTTTCGGATTATGTGTGAGGAACCAGTTGTGCTGGTTCCCGTACGCAGCGGAATATAAATAAGCAATAAAGAAGACAACAAATTTAACGAGGTTCAGCCAACTCAGGCCTACGTCCTCCTATCCTAAGTTCTTTATTAATCTACTCCGAAAAACAAAGACAAAGAACACTCTGCTGTTTCCCTACTCCGGGAACCAGTCTACCCCACACTCTACTCCGAGTGTGCTCTCGACTTACACTCGTAAGCCCAATGTGTTTGAACTCACAAACACTCACCCAGCCTTTAACCCCTTTGTTAAAGACTCAATACAAGAATCAAGAACTCTCCTTTGATCTCACTTCTACGAAGCTAATTAAGAGAAAATATTTAAGTACTAGAATGCTCTTGTATATAACTTGATGAATGGGATTAGTGCTTAAGTATATGCTCTCAAATAATTGCTCTTTTAATTTCTGGAGAGGCACACAAAATATGTGAAATAAGATGAGTTTATATAAGCTTAGATTCCTAAAACCTAGTTTCCTTAAATCACACAATCTTAGAGAATAAGATATATTGTAATTTTAGGAAAGTATTTATCTTATTTGATTTAATCACAAAGATAGAATCAATTAAGATAAATACTCCTAGTTTTTAGGTAACCAAGAATATTTCATCTTATTTCCAGCTGCACAAAATATTTTCAAAATAATCTTTTCGAAAAAATCTTTTTGTAAAATCTTTTTCCAAAACGGCAGCTCGAATATTTCGTACAGTGAACCTGGTTCCCCGACCTGGTTCCCTGAATTGAAACATGTTATGAAACCTGTTCCAACTTTGTACCAGATTTCATATCATACTTCAATATACTTTTAAGCACTTATATAACCCAAACATGCAAGCATACTACAGAGCATATTACATGAAAACCTAGATAACATATTAAAGCATAAATCGTCTTTTCTTCATGTAATCTTCAAGACTTGAATCTTCCTTGAATACTTCTATTATGAGCAAACAATCTTTCTTCGAAATATCTTCGAAAGGCTTCTATGCTCCAAGTCTTGGAATCAACTCAACTACTGCACATGTAACATGGTTAATGCACAATAAAGAGTATGTGACTTCTTTACCACGTAGCAACCATGGAAACAGTACATACTGGTTCCCTACCAGTACATAACACTTTTATCATATAACTGTTCCCTGTATAAAGACAAGTTAGTTCAATAAGAAAACTCATGTAAGTAATAACTTGTCTGGGGAAACAGTGTTCTATGTTAGCTGGTTCCCCCAACTGTATCGAACACTTTCAAGGACCTGTTTTCCCTTAGCTGTTTGTCATCATTCAAAACTATCAATCAAAACCTAAGGGACTCAACATACTCTATATTTATTATCATACAACAAATAATACCTGAAAGCAAACAAGAGGGGAGAAGGGCAAGTCAGGACCAAGACCATCATCATTGTACACAAGTTGATCCTGCAAAGAGAGGAACCCCTCCAAAGCAAGCCACTCTTCGACAGTCTTACTAGATTGAGCCTCGACGATCCTTATACCGGCATCATTGAGCTTGATCGATGCTCGTTCTCTGGTCTCGGAGGACGACACCCGGATCCTTCCACAAGTCTTGAAATAAACTACAAGCCAATCAAACATAACTTTTTTAATATCAAGTATACTTACAAAACTAGTCTTTTTTCCTTCATTATCACTAGTACTATTGGGATTATTGAAGAAATAAAGACCCTTAAGATAATGTAATTTCATTGCTAAATCTATGCCTTTTAACTCATATGTTTTGTTTTCTCCTGTGATTTTTCCAGGCACTACTGATGATATTTTTATGTCATAGACTAAATTATTTTCTCCTTCTTTTGTAACTGCCATTATTTTTTTTCTACTTTTTTTTTTTTTTTGGTGCGTGGATGAAATGGGATTTGGGTACGTGACATGTATTTATATTATGTTACCCGTACAATCTAGAAATTCGGAAAAAACCCAGGATTTGCTATAATCCAACATTCCTAACCTGATTTTTGAGCTTATAATATAAGTGAAATTTGATAGCCCAAATAAAAATTAAATATTTGAATTATCATAAACGCATCGCTCACTAACCCAAATAAAAAATTACGATTTTTTTTTTTTGAAAGAAGTCTTAAACGACACTAATTTTCATTGATTAAAGTCATTCGACATCTACAATTGACAAATAACGATAATGAAAACGAATTGAACAAAATCAAACAAGAATTAATTATTGCAACACTTTTCTAGCATATTGGTTTGTTATATTTCTATCTCCCATTTTTATAAAATTCCCACTATAATTAATTTCTAAGCTTTCTTCAAATTATAATTAATAAAAGGAAAAATTAGAAAAAATAATCCTAACTTTCATCAATTTTGGTGGAATAATCCCAACTTTCTTTTATTCTGGAATAATCCGAACTTTGGGGGTGTTTTTTTTCTTCGATTCCAAACCGGTCAGCGAAAGTCAATGACTTGTTATAGCAGGTTATATGCCACGTGTCAAGCAGCAGTTGGTCCAAAAAAAATAAAAAAAAAATTAATTTAAAAAAAAAAACAGAAAACCCTTATATCCCCTACCTGAACACCGTAACCCCCCCCCACCACCACCAGCCACTGCAGGCCGCGCGTACCCCTCCCTTTCCTTGGCCTAAAAGTGCACCACTATCCCCCTAAACCCTTGGTGTTATCGTTGCGACCCACCTCCACCCTCATTCCCCACATGAAACCACCAATGAAACCCCTCCCCACTTTCAAAAATCCCATATCGCTCCTCCCACCACCTCGAAATCCTTGCGGCTAGGGTTTTTAATGGTGGCGGAGGCGTTGGTGGTGGTTTTCGAGAGTGGGGGAGGTGGTTTTAAGGGTGTTTCGAGTGGAGGAAGAGGTTTCAAGGGTTTTAGAGATGGGGATTTCGAGTGTCACCGGAAAACAATAAAACGAAAAAGAGAGGGAGGGGGAATCAGCGGCGAAAGGGGAGGGGGAATCAGCGGCGCAAGGGGGAGGGGGAATCAGCGGCGAAGGGGGTGGTTGTTGGGATTATTCTGGTGGCAGGAATTGGAAGGGGTTGGCTGGGTTTTTTTTTTTTTTTTTAACCACTCAATTTGTGACACGTGTCACTTTAAACAAAAAAAAAACATTCAACCGGTATCCGACATTTGGGATTGAAGAAAAAGAATAACCGCCAAAGTTCGGATTATTCTAGAATAATTCAAAATTGGGATTATTGTAGCAAAATCCATAAAAGTTGGGATTATTTTTTCTAATTTTTCCTTAATAAAAAAAGAAGGAAGTAAAAATCTTTATGAGCAATTTTGTATCAGGTGGAGATGTCATGAAAACTCATGATATCATTCAATTCTCTGACCATTTTTTTAAACTTCATTAACTTTCTTTGCACTTCCTACAATAGTTCTTATATGCAAGTCATACAACACTATGCCACTATCATTTCACACAAAAAGTACATATTGTAGAACCACAAATCTAAAAGTAGAAAATAGCCTTATAACAATTGATTACAATTGCTTGATTCATGCATTTAGGTTTTAAAGATGATAATTGACATCCAAACACGTAATTTTCTTAAAAGTTTTATAATTAATTCATGTACAAATCTTGAAATTCTCTAGTGCTTCTCAATTGTAGGAATGACAATGACTAAAAGTGCTATAGATGCCATGCCACCAGAAATGTAGAACAACACTGAGAAAGGCTTAAGGCCGACACTCGTGCTCATACTCGTGTTGTTTGTTGATGAGGCTGAGCACTTGTAGTGAGCCAACAACTCTCTCTCCAACATCACAATCTCTCCAATTTCTATCGCTTTTAACATTGCTTGTGACATGTCTATTGATAGCGAAGAAACCTTTGGAAATGTCTGTGAGGGACTAAATATCGTTAGTGATAATTACTTTAGATTGACACGTTTTTTTTCACGTGAATCTACTAAATTAAACTACTACCTCTGTTTCATATTATTTGCAACGATTAGACATTTTCCCTCTGTACTTTATGTCAAATTATTGCAAATAATATGAAACCGAGGTAGTAAGTTACTAACCAAAAATTACTACATGGAGGATAAGGTCAAAGAGAAATTAAATTGTTTCCGTACCAAACATTTTGTTTGATATAGATTTTAATTGTTTGAGGGGCATTAAAGTTGAAAGGTAGTACTCACAAAACTTAAACCACCAAAGTAGTAGGTTGGACCAGCAATAGTGTAATCCTTGCAGTATTTTGCTAGAAATACTTGAGCATGTGATGTAACAAAGAAAGCAGCCTTAATTTCACCTCTTTGGAATGCTGTATGATACTCGTCAATCGATCGCGTTGGCCTAATGTTGCTAGATTTAAATTGCAAAACATCAACTAAGTAAGGGCATAGGAATGAATTCCAATTGCACCCAACAGGTGCATTTTCGCTTCATAGTGTATCGACGTCTTTCACAGATGGTGGTAATTGGGAAATTGTCATTAGAGATGTAAGTGCAACTATGAAATATATGGTCAGCATCAATATTAGGAATTGCCATGGTGCTAGAACAGTTTTGGACGATTTGCTCCTTGGCGATTCATCTACAAAAGTAACGGTGGGTGTCAATATGGTTTAGTTGAAGAGCTGTCAAAAACTGATCCGACTTTAGAAATCCCGGCCTAAACAAAACAAATCGGATCACTAGACTGGCTATTAGCATACAATTAAAAATTGCTCATAACCTTAAAATTTCAATTCAAACCATTAAAAATTTAAAACCCAACCTTATTACAGCTATCCAAAACTCTACTATCGAACAGGGCCTACACAAAGTTAAATTGATTGATCAAACTAAAACAGGACCCGACCTGACCTACCAATTTATACATCATTACTAAATCAAGGATGCTTACTGCTTTGTGCAAATAATAGCAAACTGAAGGAGAACCAGAAAATTGTACCAACTTGTTGGAAGAATGATGAGTCTACGAATTCTGGATCATCGACGTGTTCTATCAAACACACAACAAACCCCATAAAGAGTCCCATTAATGGAATGAGGATCCACATCTTCCTGTCAAAAACCTTCAAAACATCCACATCTCATTTGTGCTGTCATGTTTTACAGTGACAACCATAACCATACCAGACTTAGCATATGGCTGTGAAAAGTCTGCCCACTTGTATCTTTCTTCGAGTATGTTAATGTCCCCAACTGCTGCATCAAAGCCCTTAACACACGCAACAGTCGGTTAATAAGTGATAGAGAATATCCATAGAATATTCTCATCTTAGGTTTAGGGTATATTTTGTATAAGATTATCTTTGATATCTATACATATCTGGTTTCTCATTGTAACCCTATAAATATTGATCAATGGAAATCACTCTAATCAAGGATTTTATATTATCTGACATGGTATCACAGCCGGCGGGATATACACAAATTTTTTATGCTTCAAACTCCTTGATTAGAGTGATTTCCATTGATCAATATTAATAGGTTTCAATGAGAAACCTAATCATATTAGGTAACATAAGATATGTATAGATTTCAAAGATAATTTTATACTAAATATATCCTAAACCTAAGATGAGAATATTCTATGGATATTCTCTATCAATAAGTACTGAAGCCCAGGATCGACTTATATACTCTATCAGAAACTGATCCATTCAAAAATTATGTACACGGTTACATGGACAACTTGTAAGTAATTTAACTGAAAACAGGACAACATTGCTGACAAGAATAAAAATGATGCAGAAAATTGTGTTAATTGTAAAGAATTATATTTTTGTTAATTGTGTTCAGATATATTTAAATTTAGAGTTACCTTCAGATGGATCTCGTGTATCAGTTCATCATATATGCCGTAAAATGGAATCAAAGTAAAAGGCAGATCATAAGGTAGGTACTTCAGAGAGGCTCTGAACACATAAGCAGCAAATCCTGTGATAAAAGTTTTGTTATGTACTTCGTCGAAACTTACATTGACAAACGGATGAAAAGCACCAGAAGCCGGAACACCAATCCTCAGGGGCTTCTGACTGATAACACCAGAACTGAACCCTCCTGAAACTGTCTGTTGGCTGCCTGGCCAATATATAGGACCAAATTTAATAAAATGGTTTTTCCTGCCACTTTGTGTAAGGGCTTTCGTCGAAAATCCATCTGCAGCAGACCAGAAGGCTAAATCGCGGTACCCATTTCCCATTGATAATTTTGAAGGTTGGGAGTTGATCTATCATGCCATTTCTGAAGCTTATATTCCCACTCAAACCCACAAAGTTACTGGTGTTAGAGTAAAACTTTCCTACTGAATCCTTTTTTCGCGTTGCCAATTGCCTGTACTGCATCATATGCTCTTAAAGCGTATATACTAGGATATGGATTTCCTTGATCATTGGGATGTTTTGTGAGATAACTTCTCTCAAATCTAATCTTGAACTTTTTGTATAATTTACTGGTATCAATAAAGCTGGTTTTATATCCTATGACACCTTGCATAGAAGCAATGACAGATGAATCAACAGAATCGAATAAACTGGCAATTTCATCTGATATTATCCAAACAAAACCTTTCTCTACCAACCCCATCTGGTGTGCTTTTTGGAAAACACAAGTGGCTAGTTGAAGAGAAGATTGCAGAACTACAAAGACGCGGTTTCTTCTTATACTGAGCTTTCGGAACTCTTGCTCAATGGCAGCTTCAGGGTCAGACAAGGAGTTTATAGGAGGGAAAGCCAAGTGTTGCTCTACAGATGAATCAACTGACTTCAGTGAATCTGACAGAACAGAAATAATATCAGAATCCAGGGAAAAGTTGTTGCTTCTTTCATATATAACAGTCACTTTTCGCCACTGGAAATAGCTGACTATGGAGGTAAGGCATTGCATGTCAATCGATATATTGCTTGACATTCGGATCAAATTGGATGATGGCATTGGTAGTGAATAGTGATGCAGCAAGAACAGCAGTTGGAGGCAAGAATATGACAGGAATGTCCAAGAAGTTCTTGTGAACTTCAGATAAGACTGCAGCTTCAGGCAATGAAAATGTTCCAATAATTGCTTGAACTTTGTTTTTGTGCATGAGTTTTAGTGCTGCAGGCATAGGTTAATTAGACTAAGATAACCGACATCTTCAAATAATCGAATGATGACTAATAATACTACAAACTTCAATTTCATCATCGCTTATACTAAATAAAAACGGGCAGAAATAGGCAACTGAGGAGGTATCCTGCCCTGGCTTCATCTCATCAAAGCAACTGAAAATGAAATGTTCCAAAAAATAATGTTCTAGAAGGACTGCTGAACTGCTGTGCCCCATCAACATGACACAACAGAAGTTACTTATATGAAGTTTCAAGAATTAAGACCATATATATTTGTCTAGATATTCTCAGATTTAAGACTGCTTTTTATTTGCACCTTCTTTGACGAAAGTAGCCAAAGCTTAGGGTCATTTGAATCAGGTTTAATTCAGCTCGGTTCAGTCCAAGTCATGTTCAGGGGACAACTGGTCATATTCAGGTTTCATCGTATAATAGCTTATTTCTGTGACAATCTGACCAAATAAATATTCAAGGTAGGTCAATTTGGCTACTGTTAATAAGCTAATGTTTACAAGTCTCAATTCATGAAAATATTGATGCATGATATACTATGTAGGTTTGTAGAGTAATGTGAAAATGCAGAGATTGAAAATTTTGAGTAGTTAATGAGATTAATTTATTTTTGGTTAATGAGAAAACAGTACAAAAGACACCCACTACTCCCGGCTAACAGCC